GAAGAGTTCTCTGTTGATCTCTGGGGAAAGACTTAGTAAGTGGATCCATCAGCAATGTATTGATTGGGTGATCTGATCTGATTTGTATTCCACTGCAATAAAAATGACTGCTGGTGAAACATTTATTTGGGTTTCAAGTCAATACAACCTTTGTCTTTAATTGTCCATCTCTTTAGAAGGCTGGTGTTTCAGTTCAGGGAGTCCTACCTGAGCATCCGTACATGGTAGAATTTGGTTTCCATGTGCTTCAGTCACCTTTTATGCAGCCTTTCTCCACTTGATCTTCCTCTTAATAGGCTGTAGTTAGCTAGATGCTAGACTTTGCCTATTAGTACAATTTGTTTCCTTTACAGTAAATAATCTCCTTTCTGTTAGGCTTATACAACCTGTTCACTAATCATTATTTAGATCAGTGGTTCTCAACCTGTGGGTCGGGACCCCATTTGGGGTCGAACGACCATTTCACGGGGGTCGCCAAACAATGCAGTCCGCCATTTTTTTCCCCTTTTCCTTAGCTGTGCTACTCCCTTTTATTCTATTGGCTTTTGAAAGCTAATAAAATAGACTCTCTTTCAAAAGCTAATAGGAATTGTCCAGGCTGTCTCTGCCCTGCTGAGCCCGCCAAAAGTCCCATTCTGCAAACGGTGCTGCACCAGTTGAGTAGTCCTCGACTTACGACCGGTTGAGTAGTTCTCGACTTACGACTGGTTGGGGGTCGCGGCATTAAAAAGGTTGAGAACCACTGATTTAGATCATAATCTGATTTTCAAAAATGCTTCAATGCACGCACAGAATGGTTCAACCTCCAACAAATAGAACTTCTAGATTAGATCTATGGCATTGGTTTCCATATTAATATTTACACTGTATCTACCCAGTTAGAACATTGTTGTGCAGGTAAATGCTACTGCAATGTAAAGATGCATTCCCAAATGTTTCTCAAGGAAGAGAAAGCTTTAATTACTTTCTTAAAATATTGCAAAATATGGCTGCTAGAAAATGCATATACAAGTAGTCCTTGACTTACATCCACAACTGAGCCCAAAATTTCTGTTGTTAAGTGAGACATTTGTTAAGTGAATTTTGTCCAATTTTATAACTTTTCCTGCCACAGTTGTTAAATGAATCACTGCAGTTGTTAAGTTAGTTACATGGTCGTTAAGTCAATCTGGCTTCTCTATTATTTTTTTTATCAGAAGGTCACAAACAGTGATCACATGACTCCGAACCTCATAAATATGAGTCAGTTGCCAAGTGTCTGAATTTTTATCATGTGACCGTGGGCATACAGCAACAGTCATAAATGTGAAAAATGGTCATAATTCACTTTTTCTGGTGCCATTGTAACTTTGAACAGTCACTAAATGAACTGTTGTAAGTCAAGGACTACCTATAGATCTTGCATAGATATTTCAACTTTTAACTGTATATTTTATTTATTTAATAAAAGTTTTATTTTAAGTAACATGCAAAATAAGTAGAAAAAAAGACCTTATTTAAAGTCTTAAATACGTTTACAAGAAGAGAGAAAATGTGATTGGTTATCGATGGAGATTCTCCATCATCCAGGTCATGGTTGTCCCAAAGGTGCTTTGTTTCAAAAGGCAACTGGACTTTGTTTTTTCCTTGAAGATGTTTCATTTCTTATCCAAGGAGCTTCTTCAGTTTTGACTAAATGGTGGAGAATGGAAGGATTTATATTCCTTGCAGTCATCTGGTGGTTAGCACTCTTTTAGAAAGTCATTGAGGCCAGTTGGAGGTTTATCTGTGCCCTGTGTACATGGTTGTGGAGCATTCTGCCAAAAGGACTGTGTTGTAGACTATGTTGCACTATTCAGGTTCAAGGAATAAGAAAGTCTAGTTGCCTTTAAAAAAACACCTTTGTGATTGGTTATCCATATTTCAGATATACTAATAAAACCAGAGAGCCAGTTTTAATAACACAATAATATAAATATGAACAGTGCTTATGTTGAACTACTCTGGCAGTTTGTTCATGGGCATTGTAATCACGCTTTCCAAAGTGCGTTTGAAATGGATAGTTTGGACTCTTAAACTTAAGAGATCATCAAAGATAATTGTAAGAAGTAACATCTTGATTTGCTTAGATCAGAATAGATATATCTCCCCCATGCTTGAGACCCAGTTTGGTCTAGTAATCAAGGCACCTGACTAGAAACCAGAAGACTATGAGTTCTAATCCTGTTTTAGGCATGAAAGCTGCTGGGTGATTCATTCTTTCCCAGCCCACAATGTTAGGCTTGAGTGATAAGCTAATTGGTCCATTTCTATCAACATTTGATTGACATTAGGAGGAAAAAAAATATAGTCCCATTCTATGGGACATCATCTTTTATTGCATATAGTATATTGCTGTGGTGGCAAACCTATGGCATACGTCCACAGGTGACACGCTGAGCCCTCTCTGTGGGCACGCGCACTGTCACCCCAGTCTTAGGCCTTCAGCTGGGGTTTTATAAAACCTTTTCGCTTTGGGCCTCTGCTACCGTGTGCAAAAAAAAAAAAGGTTCAATCAATCAATCAATTTCCACTTCTCGCAGAAAAAAAAGATCTCGCAAAGTTGGAATTGATTGATTGAACTTTTTAGTCTCACCCAATCTGCCGTTACCACTGCAGCCACACCCACCCAATGGGCCACACCCACCCAATTGGCCACACCTATCCAATGGGCCATGCCCACCTGGCACCCGATGATACAAAAGTGGGTTTTGGGCTGCAGTCTGGGCACTCGGTCTCTAAAAGGTTCGCCATCACTGGTATATTGGTTCTGTTTGGATGGCTGTCAGTTCATATATAATATGCAATATAATATCTAAATTTCTCTTTGATTTACTGCTTCCAGGTTAATTATTTGTTTACTTTCTTAATGGTGTTCATACTGAGATTTAACTTGTTCTTTCTCTGGGCAAAGCTGATAGCTTCAAACATAAAATGCCAAGTTTATATAAATTCATTACTGTTACTTCATATAAATGCATGAATAACTGTTTTGGCAAGTGTAATGCAATGGCATTTCAAGCTTAAAATCAGCCTTTTGAACTTTCTAAAACAGCCATGAGGGCTTCCACAGCTTTCAGGGATAGTACAAATTTTTCTTTTCAAATTGTCACATAATTTTTTATTTCTAGAAATAACAGAGAAACGGAACTTTATATATTTTCCAAATCTGGTTCTGACCAACAAAATAAAAACACAGGTCAGATAGTTCCTTTTTAATTGTCATGACAAACTTAACTATCATATTTGATTTAATGGCAATTTATCCTCATGATAATTAGTCACATGTAATTAGATTCAACTTAGTTTTCTTAGTTTTTCTTATCACTACATATTACTAATATTCGGATAACATTATAGTTAATGAGCTCCTTGCTCATTCCCTCAATCTTTTATTTCCTGCTATGTTTCTAACTGATTGCCAAATGTATACAAAAGACTGTAACTGGAGACATGAAAAATGGAAATCACTGTTTTTTTCAGTTGTGCTCCTGCATATGGTGTTCATATTGTACATTCTCTATACATGGATTATTCATCCTAACTTTGGCTATTGGTTGGAATAAAGAACTTCAGAATTTCAGTTCTTCTTTGGGATCAATTTGAGAGTTATTATGTGTCTGTGCATGGATTATTCACTATCTGCACTTAACTGACTCCTTCTCCTCTCCTCACCTCACCTCATCTCACCTCTCCTCTCTTCCAATGAAGAGTTGAGCAATATAGTATTATTATTTGTGAGTGTGTGGTACTGTTTATAACATTAATTCTTCCTCTCTCCCCCGTTATCATCATTGACATTATCATTATCATCATTAACATTATCATTATAACTATAATTATCATTATCAATATTAAATTTTGATGCCACCCAACTCCAGAGCAACAACTGCTATTAATTTCAAGTTTATATAATTATATACATCTATATTTTTATTCTGTTCATTAGTTTAGCATAATAACAATATACACCATGTGACTCTGTCAAATGTCAAATAGACTTGGATCACTTAAACCCACATGGCAGTGAGTTTTCAGTCTGACAACAAAGGTTATATGTTCTATACTGTACAATAACATCTGGGAGGGGGGAGCATTCCAAATCACTGTAAATATTGACAACAATATGCAAAGTATTTATTTCCCATATTCTATCCTCCTTTGAAAGAATTCTCAACAGTACAAATAAAGAGCATGATTGTGTCAGCCCTCTGGAATTCTGTGCTGCTAAATGGAAGAAAAGGAGGCTGTCTCCCACCAAAAGTTGGAAATGAAACTTGCTTCCTTTGCCAAATGTTTCCCTCAATTTAACAGTGACCACCGATCAATGATTAAGCTGGAATTAAGGAGAAATGCAACTCAGCAAGATACATGTATAGCTAGAACGAATATTACACCAGAGGAAATGTAATCCATGACATTCTTATGTCTATTCCACTTTACAGATAGGCCTTTAAGGAGGCTTTTTCTTGTTTTAAAGACAAGCTAATCTTAATGTGTTATGGTCTGGTTTTAAGCATGTATATTGCTTGAGACTAATTTGAATTCAATAGGTGCATTGCTCTGGCTTGGCTGTTTAGAAGGGTATTAGTATATGCATTATATTAATATAACATTTATCCATATTTGGATGCATATTCTTAGAACCATATTGTTTCAATGGACCTCATCTTCCAGAGGATGCCTTTTCTTAAGAACTGAAGAGTGAGCCTTTTGAAAATTCCTGCTTATGATTCCTTGACAACATGGCTCTGCCTGCTGTAGCTACATCTGCTCAAATTCCTGAAATCATCACCTATCTGTCAATGACATCACAGCAGATGGGAGATGGACTTGGTGCAGACTTAAAACCCTTAGCACGCTGCTGGAAACAGGCAGGCCAGGCTGAGCTGGAGTGTCGCCTGCCGTGCTCTGTGCAGACTGTAGGTGGCGTTGTAGATAAGCACCGTCTCCTTTTCTCTTTGCTAGCTCTTGTGGCCGCCCTGGGCGACAGCAGGTGGTGCCAGATCCCGCACAGAAGCCGCCGCCCCAGCTTGGGAGTGTTTGCCTGCCGCAGACTCGAGCGGCTGTCTCTGCGCTCACTCCTTGATCCTCTTTCAGTAGCGTTTGGAACCAGCCGGCTGAGGAGCGAGGCGCTGTCCATTCAGCACCACCGGGGGGGTTAAAAAACAGCTTTTTTGCGCAATCCGTCGTGAACCTCCTTCCAAGAGCGAGGTGTGCCCTGCAGTAAGTAAATAGTGGGAGGATGATGGGGGTGGGGGGCGGGAGGAGGATTCCTCCCCTCGATCGTCTGATTCTGAGGCATGTATTTGTGACCCGCCCCTGATTACTGGCGCAGATACATCGTGGCTAAGAAAAAATGAGGACGAAAAGGGGCTCTTGAATATCCTTGACACTGTGTTTCGTTTGTTAATTTGTTCATAGATTATAATTCATTCTGGAATATATCAGTTGCCAGAGAAGAGGGGGTTGTTAAAGAACGATTGTTATTAAGCATCATTTTTGAAAGGTTTTGTGTAATTGCTGTGATTTTTTTTTAAAAAAAATAATAGATGTAATATACAGATAAAAACCTGGGCCAAATGCACCCCTGGTTTAGATATTTTCTGTTAGCAACAAAGGAGCTAAGCTAGGTTCACTCCTACAACCTGATCTTGATATAAAACAATCCTTGTTTGGAGCTAAACCAACAGAAGCTTAGCTGAACTCTCTTGTGGGTGGTTTATGCCTGATGATAATATTCTTTAAAGCAAGAAATAGAGGTAAAATGCTTCTCCCTCTTCTCCCTCCCTCTTTTCCTCTCTTCCAATTTAACAGAGATATGCAAGTGGGAACCATATGACCTGCAGGGTGATTGAAATATGGCAAGCTGACATATTCTGTCCTTAATTTCCCCTCCTTTCTGTTCCACCTTCCTTCTTACCCCTTTAATACTGATCACCTCAATATGTTTTAGGTCTGGAAAGTGAGATCTAAGGATGGTGAAGCTGGGAAGCAATTTGAATGAAAAGAACAAGCAGCAGCCGTCCAATGAGGACGGTTTTCAGACGGTTCCTTTGATAACACCCTTGGAAGTCAATCACTTACAGTTCCCAGCTCCAGAAAAGGTAAATGGAAAACAAAACAAAATCTAAAGCAAAACAAAACAAACAAACACAAAGGAGACTAGGCAATATAGGCTTTCCAACTATTCTGTTCTATTGCCTTTCAGAAGCACAGAAAAGACCCATTGTTCCCTTTAAAGAGGTTGACTTTTGCTGTGTGCACCTGTCTGTTTTCAAAAGCGGAGCAGACCAGCATACAATAGAAATGGATCATGGCTAAAGCCTGAAAAATGGCAGAGAATATTCATCCTTTTATAAAATAGACGGGGAAAATAAGCTAATTAAACAATTACAATGAATTTGTGTATTTTAAAATCAGCTTTGCAACTGCAATCCTAGTTGCTTATCTGACGTGAATGTAACCAGCTGCAATGAATTCTTTTGATAAAGTATCGCAGGGAAATGTTTCATGCCTACATTCCTATACCTCCCTCCTTTATTACCTTATGGGAAGAGAACGCTTTTGTCAAGCAAGTGAAAGCTTAGATTTTGAATGGGATCCTCAAAAGTCAGTATCACCGTTTACTTCTTGCTGAGCCATTATTTGAATACAGTCTGTTGTCATCTAATCTGTACACATTATCTTATCCTTTATTATTATTATTGTCATTCATCGCACAGTCAGCCAGATGTTAAGCCTGGATTTGGCATTTTGTCTACCTATCGAGTCCTTACCCAGGACCTGGGATAGGCAGATGTGGATGTTTGATGGTATTACAGGTATCGTCGCAGGATGGAAGCAGTTCCTAATAAGGCATTATTATTATTATTATTATTATTATTATTATTATTATTATTATTATTATTATTATTATTATTATTATTATGAGAGATAATGTAAGGACATAAATGTTTCTCAAATTCATGTAATCTGTGTTTTATGTGGATAGAACATCACTGCAGTGCATCTGTCTATTCAGTTCTCAACCCCAAAATATGTAGAAAACATGCTACATGGACTGTAGGCATACACACAAAGGTGAAAAGAGCAAATTAAGCAAATTATGCTTAATTCATCCCAATAACGTCACTCTCCTGCCAAAAGATTAAAAGTTCTCTCTTTAATACATTATAATAAGTCATAATATCTTTTCTTATATAGAGCAACTCTACTAAGTCATTTGGTGATGCAGTGATTGAGAGAGAAAATGATAGAAAAGATTAACAATCCATAAAATTGCATTTATGATTGCAAGGAGTGGTAATGCGAATCAGTTCTTAGATTCTTTTTAAAAAAGATTACTTTGAATCTTGAAATGTTTATCTGTTTCTTTCCAAAATTTTAAAAACTTATTTATTTATCCAATTTATATGGGCACCCTTCTATCCAAGAGCCTCTAGACAGCAAACCAAAAAGAATTACATTAAAATAAACCAAAGAAACAAATAAAAACAGCTAAAGTGACATTGAGCTCCAATAAAAACCCAAAACTACAAAACACATATTCCCATGCCATAGATCCCATTCTAATGTCCCAGTCCCAAAGCCAGGAGGAAAAGCCAAGTCTTCCTGGCCTTGCCAAAGGACAATAAAGGAGAGACTGCCCATGTTTGGGGGGAGACTGTTCTAAACACTACAAGAATAATAATCTTAAAAATATAGAAAAGAAAAATAAGTCTGTCAATGATTATTACTCTTGATCATTCTATAAAATTTGCAGAATCAGAACAATGGGCTTTTCAGTACTTTGCTGTGGAACACCTCCAGAAGTGTGTTGGTGCCTTTATGTCCTGTTTGTGGGCTTCATGGTTGGCTACAATGGAGGTAGAATATTTTACTAGATAAGCCTCCTATCTGCTTCAACAAAGCCTACCTTGTTTTAAAATAAAAACATTTACATTGAACTTAAGAATAGTACATATTACTGACAAGAGTATTGTTTATTGGATACACAGAATTTCTAATAAAACAGATGTAAGCTGTTGATCCAGTGGATAACATATTTTTCTTGGGTCATGGAGATCTGGGCCTATACCCTTCTTCAACCACACAATTAATTTAGGCAAATATTTATCAGTTTCAGGTCGGAATAAAGGTGATATCAGTTTCATTTTATTTAGGCAAGGAACTCAGTTCACATGAATGAAAAGCTGGGGCAGATAAGTTATTAGCAATGCACTACAAATCCTGAAAAGTCTTGGGAAAAAAACCATGTGGCATATGCTATATCTGGTGATACAGATGTTTTGGATAACAATTTCTACAATCTCTTGATGATGTTGGTCATAACTGAGAATTTTTAGAGTCTCAAATATCTGGTGAACTACAGATTATTTGAGCCTGTCTAGAGTGACAGAACAATATAAGGCATTTCACAATCACTATCACTTCTGTTTCCTTTATCCAGACTTACATTACAGTACAGTATTTAAGCCAAGCACTGGGGCTTTGCTTACTTATGATGAATAAAGACATGAGCAAAACTGAATTATACTGTCATTTCCCAACTGTTGCCTGGTGAATGTGTCAGATTCTATTTGGCCTTTGGTCATGACTTGTAAGTCATATTATCCCTGGTTTGTAGAACAGGGGATATTAACTGAGAAATACATAGAAGTATATACCACAATGTATATAATTATCATAATTTTAAAATCAACTCTTTCTATAGGAGATGCACAATTATGGTAGATGTTTCAGGAAAAGAGCCTTGCAGGATATTAGGAAGTGATTACAAATCATCAACTTTATCTCACAATATTTTTATGAGAATCAAGCAAGCTCAATTTCCTATATGGAATCTTTGGAAATTAACAGTAATTTCCTACATGCAGTGTAGATGATTATTTTTTCCCCAAAGCAATAGTTAAAATTCTGTTACTCACACTTTTGCTATCTTCAAAGCATTAAAAAAAATCCATATATGCAAAGATAACTTACAATAAATATTGGCAGAGCATAAACTGTATATATACAATAATTTAATATTTGATAATAACTCATCTAACCTGATATAGAAGGAACTTATATTTCCCTACAAGCTTTCTGTGCACCTTGAGTTATATCTGCAACTTTAACATTTCATCTATATTCAAGATCAAATTAGGCCTTTTCTAAGAAGCTTTTAGTGAAGGAAAGCTTTAGTGATGGCGCTAAAAAGAAAAATAAAGTATTGTCATGTTATAATCTATTTTTAAAAAAAACAAATGGGAGAAAATATCCTTCTGAATACTTTATTTATTGTCTTGGAAAAAGGCAATAATTTTCTCAAAATCATCTCAATTTCAAATTTGCCATTCTTTTCTCAATTCTTCCATGCATATCTATAGTATTTCATACTATATGCTTGAATATATCTACACTATCTCTATACATGTTTATAGAGTACTCCAACTAAGGCCATAGAGAAGTTTATTTTCTAGCATACTGCCTAAAACAACAATAGTGTGGATGATGCCCTGTCTCTTAATGTAATATAACTAAAAATAATTAAACTCCTCAAACCCAACCAGCTCTTCTCCTTCTTTGTTCACAAGAGAATCTTAAAGATGGGGAATTTAGATTGTGGCACTAAAATAATAAGACTGGTGTTCATGAAAGCACATTGCCCTTTGCCAAATCAAGAATTACCTTGTAGACAATGAGGCATCCACTGCTATGGTCTAGAAACAAATATAGTGCTATATCTATATTTTAGTATCGTATAGAAGAGAACCAGCTTGTTGCAGTGGTTAAAGGCATTGGACTAGAAACCAGGAGACTGTGAGTTCTAGTCCTTCCTGGGCATGAAGTAAGCTAGGTGATTTAGGACCAGTCATTTTCTTTCTGGGCAATTTCAAACCAGCTCTGAGAAATGTTGCCATGTAATCACCAGAAGCCCAGACCGACTTGAAGGCAAAAAGTCACCAGCATCATATAGAATCAGAATCTAGCATAAGGAAAGGAATTAGGTCTTGTCTGCCTTTGGAAATGTTTGATAATATTGGTGAAGTTTCTGGTATGGTGTGAATAATGGAGGTACTTTAAATGACTCTATACTTTCTTCAGTGAAGCTCCTCTTTTGCCTACAAAGCATTCCAGATTCAGTCCTTGTGATCTATGAAAGAGGCTAGGTTTTGTCATGAAAAGGCCTTAGGCTATTTTGTGTTCAATGAACTAATAATGGGATATGACATAAGTCCTTATCTAATGTCTCATCCTCCTCCAGTGTATTACTATATCTGAGTGAAGTCAGAGTTCATTAGTACGAAAGGTATTTTGCAGCTCAAGTTCTGATCATTATCTATTTTTGTCTTTTAATTCTCTTAGTTGACTGAAATATACATTTTGCACTTCTGGGAACTTCAGTGGCTAAGAATGCAAAGTAGAAAAAATAGGTCACTCTGAATATCCACAGGGGTCAGAAAGTCAAGATGGCAGAACAACCATGCAATCAAAACTCTGACATGCATTGCATGTACAAACCAAAGTAAAAAATAAAATTGGAGTTTCAATTGACAAACACAGCCATCATCTTGACTTTTTAAAACCTTCCCTGTAGATGCCCCAACATATCACAATTTTTTCCCTGTGATGTGGAGTTAGTTTATTTTCTTTGTTTTTCAAATAATAAGCCAAATTAAATAAGTATTTAGAGGTGGGTTTGGGTTTTTTTTGGCATCTTAGGTCTTGAGAACAGAATAAATTAGTTACCGATAAGCAGAAGCATAGGTATTTCTTTTCTTTTCCTTTTTATCAAATTCCTGCTATGATTCTTTTTTTTAAAGAAGTGAGGTATAAGCATGTGGCCTACTCCTAGGGCTGCTTTTAAACAATGTGATTCCGACAACTCTATACTATTTTTAACCAAGCAATTTTAGGTAGACATTTTGTTCTTTGTGAGAGAATAAATAATAATGCAGTCAATGAAGGAGAAATAAAAAGAAATGCACAACACTTTTGCTTTTTCTACGCAAGCTCTTAAAAGGAAGGGGTAAAGTTTTATTGAATTTGGGGAGGGATAGAGTAGATTTGTATAAACTTGCCTTCTAAAAAATGACTGCTATGTCTTTGCAATTGCCTA